AGTCATTTTTAACCAATAAAATTTCATTATTTGACCCTACTTTTTGACCCTAAACATATATAACCTACCAACATATAGAATATAATACACGAACTTTACACAGACTTTAACCCTAACCCTAACCCTAAAATATAAACAAATTTATACATATCTTATATAACATATAGACACATTCTTTAACCAATAAAAATGCTTCTAGTTTTTTTATATATAAAGTCATTTTTAACTAATAAAATTTCATTATTTGACTCTACTTTTTGACCCTAAACATATATAACCTACCAACATATAGAATATCTCTTAATACGTTATGCAGGCAAATTTGCCTGCAAAATCTAATTTTAATGCAATTGTTAAAAAACGGGATAGGAGAGGTCCCTCAAAAAGGTACCTTAACTAATTTGGTTAGACTTCAACAACTTAATGGTAAGATGTCGATTGTATAAATCATGTTACTAATGATTAATACTAACTATAAATTGTGCTTATCATGGATTACTGGGCCATGTATTTTATTGATCGAATCAAAAAAATATTTATAAATTATTTAAATAAAGTTTAGCAGCTTTTTTTTTGGATCGTATTGTTCTCACATGTTCTCACGGCATTGTTTTCTATAAAAAAAAATATTATCTTTAAGAATTTTTTTAAAAGCGATTCCCAGATTATTGATTCGTTAACTGCAAAATATTTGTAGTAATTAGTTTTAAAAAACCATACACTATTAAATTTCAATAGCATTGATTACAAAGTAAAAGTTCTTTTCAATTTGAAAGTAAGATAATACTGTTTTAATTGACTCATGCAACATAAATATCTGAAATTAGACGGATAAAGTAACATCAACTAGTTTATGAAAGGTTAGAAGAAAAAAAAAATAAAAAAAAAAAAAAAAAAATAAAGGCAAGAACTATTAATAAATTAAGTTAAAGTTGCAATTCAGGCTCTGAGTAAATGTTTATTTTTTTTAGTTTATAATGATGCAAGACAAAGAATTACCTGCTGACTTGTTGGATCCCTATGATGTTTCATTTTTTTCACGAATGCAAGAAGTTTTTTCACCAGACGAAATATTTGAAGACAGTGAAGATAATAATAATACCGATACTGTAGAACTAATTAATGAAATGAGTACAATTAGCCTAAACAATAAAAATTAAATTGAATTAAACAACATAGAGTCATTGCAAATAAATAAAAAAAAAACCAGAGGAAGAGGACGTCAACGTGGAAGTAGAGGAGGAAAAAATATAGTTTCAGAAAAAAAAGATAAAATATCTTCGCAATTACCCACACTACCTGATTTTGACTATTTCAAGCATAATGTACTATTTCACCAAGGTTTTGTTAGATTACCACCAGCATTTCCTGATAATAATATTACTCTATATAGATTAATTAGATTATTCTTTTCACAAACTATTCTTAACACAATTGTAACAAACACTAATAAATATGCGTAATCAAAAAATGCTGGTATAGATGAACGTCCTTGGTCACCTTTAACATTAGATGAATTGAAAATTTGGTTAGGTATCATTATTTATACGGGTGTAATTAAGTTACCAAGTTTAACAGATTATTGGTCAACTGATTTTAAGTATCCTAAACACGATATTACTCAAATGATGTCAATGATACGTTTTCAACAAATTAAACGTTATTTGCATATTTCAGATATTAATTCTAAAAAACTTTACTAGTTTGACAAAATTGAGCCTCTGGCTTTACAAATTCGAAATATTAGTAAACAAATTTATGTGCCAGGTTCACATATTGCAATTGATGAAATGATGATAAGATTTTCCGGATGTAGTAAGCATACATTTAGAATGAAAAATAAACCTATTTCAGAAGGTTATAAAATTATTTCATTATGTGAAAAAGGTTATACCTATACATTTATATTTGAATCACATATTGAAATAAACAAAGAAGTTCCGAATGTTTTAGGTTTTAACAAAACTGGGTCTCTCGTATTTTATCTTGCTATGCAATTATCCAATAGTCATGCCTATAATATTTATATGGATAATTATTTTGCTAGTATACCTCTTTTTAATCATTTAAGAATAAAAGAATATGGTGCTTGTGGCACAGTACGAACAAACTCAGCAATATTTCCTGAAGAATTAAAAATTGAAAAGTCTATTCGTTTGGATTGAGATACTTTAGCTGGGGTAGTTTTAAATAATGTTTTAGTGATTTTTTAGATGGACAATGGTCTAGTTCATATGCTTTCAACTATTCACAGTATTAAAGGTAATGAATAGAAAATTTTAAGTTTACGAAGACGACCTCGGGAAACAAGTTTAAATGCAGCCAATGTACGAAAAGTTTTTAGTAGTGAAGTACGTAAAGAAATCCTTATTCCAAAAGTAATTAATGATTATAACTATTTTATGAATGGAGTAGATATCGCTGACCAATATTGATCATATTATAATTGTCAGCTTACTGCTTCACGTACTTGGATGCTATTATTATTCTGGTTAATAGATACAGCTATTGTAAATTCATTTATTATCTATTAAAAAAATAGTAAATTATTGTTTTAACTTATTTATTTATTTATTTTAATATAATTAATTACTTAGATATAAATTTTGCTAATTAATAAATAGGTGGAACTCTTGCTCATCGACAATTTAGATTGCAATTAGCATGGGATTTTGTTAGTGATGCATTGAATAATAAGTGAAAGGTAGTTAATAAGCAATGGTTAAATAAAAATTCAGCATCTATTGTAAGTAAATATTATAGGCTTCTAGTTATTCATCTTTCTGGTACAAATCACTATCCAAAATAGAGAGAAAGCCATGTGGCATGTATTTGGTGTCAGTGGGAAGCAAAAAAAAATAATCAAAATATAAAAGAACAAAATCCTCCACAAAGTCAAATTTGGTGTACTAAATGTAATGTTGCACTTTGTTGTAACATATCTCATCCATTATGTTTTGAAAAATATCATACATATATTGATGAATAATAAAAAATATATAACTTTGTAATATGTACAAATATTTATGATCTGTAATTTTATCTAGTTCAAAATATATTTTTTATATTTTTCTATACATAGTCGATCAGATGTATATTTGCTTTAGTGAATCAGATAGATTTGGTATATTTATTGAACATAGTATATATAGTGCACAAAGTTAATATAGTATATATAGTGAATACATATAGTGAACATCAGACTATACATATAAATATTTTGTTCTAATATTCTGATAAATAAAACTTTATAAAGTAATTTGATTTTATAACTTCGAAATAGGATTTTGTAATAATCTAGAATCTTATTGATTCTAGTTACTTGAACAAAGTCTTCTACACTCTTTTTATAGCATGCTATATATTAATATAGTTTAATTATTAATAATATTTTTGGATCGAATTAGTTAGTTAAGATTTGTACAACTTATATTTTCAGATTTCGATTTACATAGTCTATATATCTCTATAATATACATAGTGTATCTTAGATATAAATGTCAATATTAAATAAATTTAATTTTTTCTATATTAATCAAAGCTTAAAATAAAAATTTGCTAATAATTTTGGGGGATCAAATCTATTTAAAAAAAATTTTAAATTTTAAAAATATAATTTTTTATTTTATATTATAAAAATCGATTAACTTTAAATTTATATAAATTTATATAAAATATAATTAATTTTTATAATTTATAGATTAAAAATATTATTAAATCTTAAAGAATATTATATTAAAATATTAATAAAATTTTATAAAAAAATTTTTAAAAATATATATATACAACTTTTTGCAGGCAAATTTGCCTGCGTCTATCCTACAGACTAAGAGATAATATGCGAACTTTACGCGAACTTTAACCCTAACTCTAACCCTAAAATATAAACAAATTTATACGCGTCTTATATAACATATAGACACGTTCTTTAACCAATAAAAATGCGTCTAGTTTTTTTATATATAAAGTCATTTTTAATCAATAAAATTTTATTATTTGACTCTACTTTTTGACCCTAAACATATATGGGGTGTGGCCAATAGAAACAGCCTATTTTTACATTTTTTTGAAAAATGAGTTTTTATTATATTCATATAAATTTTGATATGATTGACATTTTTCAATTATAAATGAAAGTCGATTTGCATAATAAAAAATCGAGATAATGTAAAAGAAACATTACACAAAGCTATATAGGGTCAACACATTACGAGATTATCTGATAGTCACCTGTTACCTTTAACCAATCAGAATCGTGAAATTTGATTAATCTCAGATTAGTCCGAAAATCAAGACAAATAATTAAACTTAATTATTTCGAAATAGTTATATGTAAAAATGGGCTGTTTCTATTGTCCACACTCCATATAACCTACCAACATATAGAATATAATACGTGAACTTTACGCGGACTTTAACCCTAACCCTAACCCTAAAATATAAACAAATTAAAACGCGTCTTATATAACATATAGACACGTTCTTTAACTAATAAAAATGCATCTAGTTTTTTTATATATAAAGTCATTTTTAACCAATAAAATTTCATTATTTGACACTGCTTTTTGATCCTAAACATATATAACCCTAACCCTAACCCTAAAATATAAACAAATTTATACGCGTCTTATATTTCATATAGACATATCTAATAACCAATAAAAATACATCTAATATTTTTATATATAAAGTTATTTTTAACCAATCAAATTTCATTTTTATCCCTAAATTTTAACTCTAAGTATATATAACCCTAACTCTAACCCTAACCCTAACTCTAAGTATATAAACAAATTTATACATATCTTATATTTCATATAGACACGTCTAATAACAAATAAAAATATGTCTATTATTTTTATATATAAAGTTATTTT